CCAACAACCCCATCAAAATTCTTCATTTCTGTTACAATGTTTTTTTATCTGCAGCACTTCTTTTTGATTCTTTCTTAGGATTTCTACTTCTTTGCTGACATTGCTCATGCAGTCTACTTTATCCATTAGAGTCTGTAGCATATTTGTTTTAAATCAAATCATAGTTGACTTTAAATCATTTAAAATTTGATTTAAAATCATTTGATTTTAAATTTAAATCATTGATTTAAAATCATTTGATTTAAAATCAAATCATAGTTTAAGTCAAATCATAAATTAAATCATAGTTGTTTTAAATTCCTGATCTGACAATTCTAACATCCATGCCATATCTGGTTGATACTGCTCTATCTTTTCAAACTGCTTTTTTGCACTTTGTCATGTTTTATAATTTTTTTCTTGATGTACTGGGTAAAAAGAATACTGCTGTAAATAGGTCTTTAGTAAAGTGGTGGTAAGGTGTTGGGGGAGGGGCAGTATCCTGGGAGAACTGAAGTGTCTTACAGCTCTAGGTGTCCATTTTTTAGTAAGCTTATGCCTCAAGACCATGAACTTCACAACAGTTCGAAATTTTCCCCCTTCCTGTTTATGTGGAATAGAACGCTCAAAATGGTCTGGAATTGGGTATTTCCCATCTCTCAAGTCAGCTGGGCTTTGATACAGTAGGTTCAGTTCAGTTCAGTCACTCAGTCGCATCCGACTCTTTGCGACCCCATGAACCGCAGCACACCAGGCCTCTCTGTCCATCACCAACTCCCGGAGTTCACCCAAACCTATGTCCATTGAGTCGGTGATGCCATCCAACCATCTCATCCTCTGTCGTCCCCTTCTCCGCCTGCCCTCAATCTTTCCCAGCATCAGGGTCTTTGACAATGAGTCAGCTCTTCACATCAGGTGGCCAAAGTATTGAAGTTTCAGCTTCAACATCAGTCCTTCCAGTGAACACCCAGGACTGATCTCCTTTAGGATGGACTGGTTGGATCTCCTTGCAGTTCAAGGGATTCTCAAGTCTTCTCCAACACCACAGTTCAAAAGCATCAATTCTTCAGTGCTCAGCTTTCTTCAGAGTCCAACTCTCAACATCCATACATGACCACTGGAAACACCATAGCCTTGACTAGATGGATAGGCTCCAGTTAACTAGATTTCCTCGAGGGCTTGTCTTGTTAAGAAGAACAGAATACCCTGGCATGTTTCAAAATGCTGCCTTTCTCCATCTACCTTGCAGTGGTATGAAGGGATTTTTTTTTTTTTTTAATGTGAGCCTGGCTGAGCCTCTGGAGGTAAATATTACCACACAGTAGGGGCCCGCCTTAGATTGGGTCCTCTTGAAATTTTTAAACTCTTCAGACTTGTCCACACAGAACATCCAACAATTCACTAACTGCAGTTCAGGTATTCCTATTCAGCACTACCTCCCACAGAGGCTTCTACTTGTGAGTCTTGGCTCCAGCAAGCTATGACTTCCTATATTTGCCCATTTCTCCAACTTTGGGGACAGTGATTTGACCTGTGTCATTTCCTCTCTTACGGATCTAAAAAGAGTTGCTGATTCTTCAGTTGTCAGTTTTTGACTTGTCATTAGGCTAAAGTGGTGACTTCCAAGTTCCTTACACGTGGAACCTTTTTAAAAAGTCTCCCTCAATAATTTTTTGAATAAATGAATGAATGGGGGGAAAGCTGAAAAGTGAATTCTTTCTAAAATGAGAGGTTCCAACAATACCTAAATGTAACACAGTAGCTTTGCTAAAATCACATTTATATTAGGGCATTATGTTTTATATAGTTCAGAAATTATTTGTTGTAGCAAAATTTAAGGCTGAACTGATTTTTGAATCTGTATTTATGGAAGGAAAAGTATGTTGAAAATTTACATTCATTCACCAAACTATCAGAAAAAACAAATAGTACAGTAATCCCTCTTTTTTCATCCTGATATAATGTATTTGCACAATACTTTTGCAAATCTATGTCAACTGTCTAGAGCAAATTACCTAATAATCAATCCTTCCTATACCAGGTTGCCTACAATTCAATCTCCCTTTTTTTCTGTTTATGTTAGTTATGTCAATTAGTTTTAATTAGCACGAGGGAGGATTTAGAAGTATTTTTAAATCAGCTTCTATAAGGGAGTTCCGCACTTACTTTTAATACTTTTAATATGAAGTATTAAATAAATCATGGATTTAATCTATTTTTGAACACTTTTAAGACTTTTAATATAGGGTCTAAAAATCCTTTCTTTAGAATTCCATGTTCCTAACAGTAAATATTTATCAGCACTATATAAAACATAAATAATAATTTGTCAAGCAAGGCTATCATAGTAACATCACTAAGAACAAAAAACAATATTATTTTGTGCCTTATAATCCAGCAGTATTTTATGAATTAAGACACCTTAAATAATAATACATTTTATATAGTTGACAAGTACTCTTCACTGTAATAGGCTTTTGTCCTGGTTGTATACACATTTTAAAACATAGTTCTCACTCTAGAAACCTACTGAAAATGTCATTCTGAAAATCATTTACCATAAGATAGTTCAAGGAGCCACAGTTAATATGAGTGTTGTTTCTAACGTAAAGGAGTTTCTCATATTGCCTGAATTCTAAATGTAAAAGAGTGACATTTTATTACAAGACAAACTGTAGTATTTATAACTCTCCTCATTTTGCCTGTTCTGCATCCTTCAAAATTCTAATGCCATCACCATTAAACCTTCCTGACCTCTTCCACAGAGTAGGGCTCTTCTCTACCATATATATATAGCACTATTTTAATACTTACAACAATTTTTTTACCCAAGCTGCAAAGAATGTATAGATAAATATCCAAATACAATCTGATGATGAATCAGCAGTATCTATGACTATATAGCTTTTAATTTCATTTCCCTCTTTTGTCATTTAGCTTCCTTTATTCTAAACTTCTTGGCTGCTACATAGGGGAAGTTAAAGCATTAAAAAAAAATTTTTTTTTAAAGTATCACTCTTTCCTACACACATGTGAAAACTTTCAAGACATTAAAATTCTATTTGGAGCAATAATACCCTAACCAAAAAAAGGTTATTTTAAAAAAATTACAAAGGCTGTGGCTTTTAGACAAATGGCAATAATTAAGTGTGCTATTAAGGAGGTGTCACTTTTCTAACAATTTCAACCAATTAGGAAAAGGTACTTTCAGAAGTCTAAGGTCTTTCTGTTTGTTATAAAAAACAGATCACTTAAAACCACCTCCTCTGGTGGACATCATCCATTATCTGTATCACTTTTGGTTCACTTTCTTTTGTCTGGTCACAGTTTATTTTATTTTATTTATTTCCACAAAATAAAAAGTCCCAGTGTATTTCTACTATACCCTTTCTTATTCCAAGAGATTTATGGAATGTGCTGGTGTGAGGCGTGAAGGGTATTCAAGGAAATACAAACTTCGTAATTGTGTTGTGTCTGGGGACAAATGCATGAAGATTCAAAGGTGAGACGATCATGCTTTTTCAAAGAGAAGATAGGAGTCACCGTATCTCCTTTTTGTGTTGTCAGTAAAACCTAGTGTGGAATGTTCAATCTGTGTGTGGACATAAATCTGTGTCCAGGCAGTTATTTAACTCTCTTAATTTATTCTTAGAACAACAGATAATTTAGGTGATTTGCTGTCTTTAGGTCTACCATTAATGTAATTAAGAGATGGGTAAACTTTCTCCGTCAAGAGCCAAATAGTAAATATTTTAGGCTTCTCTAGCCACCTACGGTCTCTGTCATATGCATATTTATATTTATTTATATACATATATATATTTATTCCACAAAATCTAAAAATTTTTGTTAGCTTACAGGCTGTATAAAAACAAGACCACAGGTCAGATTTTACTCAGAGGCTGTACTCTGGGGATCCCCACTATAGATACCTTTAAGAAAGGTACATTTTAAGACTATTCAATGCCAATCATGCTTCGGAGAACAAGAGAGTGAGGCAGCAAGAAGAAGAGAATAAAGAATAGTCTGGAAATATCACAAACGTTCAAGCTCGTGAACAGCCATTTTATACATTTCAAGATTTACTAGCATTACTAGTAATTACTAGTAAATTACATTGGGGAAAAAAAAGGGGTGTCATTCTTTATTGATCTCACAGAAATTTCCTTTAAGCTGGAAAGTACTTTTTTTAAAGTTAGTTTTTATTATAAAGTACTTACAGAAATAATTTCTAAATCTAGTATAGAAAGAACATAAAAGTGCTAGATTATTTCAGCTCCAAGTTTGCTTCTATTTAAGACTCTATGACTTGAAAAAAATTCTTTTTTAAGTTTTTACATAGAGCATTTGAGAAACTGGTAGGTACAAGTACACATGATAAGATGCATACTACAAGTATCATTTTCAGTACCCAGACACTATAAATTCTGAAGTCTCTAAAAAAAATTGAGCTTAAGTGGAAGACAAATTTAAACCAAGCTGCAACTATTTATAAAGAAAAATGAAGCTTCTCTCCTTTGACTCATCTCCAAATTTAGAAAATCTGTAACTTAAGACTAAGTCCAACCACAATCAATGTAAGTTCATTTAAAGCCACAGATCTTGGTAGCTCAAGTCCTATATCAAGGCAAATCCTGAAAAGAATATAAACCACTTCAACAAACATGGCAAAGGACACAACTTACTACAGAAAAATTTCCAATTCACTTTCTAAATCAAGAAAAAACTTAATAGGTAAGTTGCTATCTCTTTTCCCGGGATAGTGTGAACTTAACAACTGCTAATAAAAACTAAAATATAGGTTATGACATTTTCTTATGTGAACTTAAACAATAATATAACAAAGGACATAATTTCAGAGAATAAAAACCAAGGCTATTGGTCATAAAGACACTGTCCCTCAAGCTGAAATAATGAACAAAGTAATATTTTCAAGCCAGTGACCAAATGAAAGTACTCCTGTATTCTACTGATAATTAGAAGCCTCAAAGAGAACCTATAAGAATTAGAGATAAACAAACCTAATTCACTCATTTTAGTATTTCCATTTGTTTTGTGTGCCGAATCTGAAAGAGAGATAGCAATAAAATGATTAGTGCTTAAAAGGAAATGCATCATATGGTTCTTTACCACAGGTTCATCATTAAAACCTTAACAGATTTTTATCACCTAAAAGGACAGTCATCTATCAAGGCAAAAAAACAAAAAAAATTCAACTTAACTATTTTAAAAGAGAATAACTGGGAAGTAGAAACCTCCTGTGAAGGTAAATGTTTCCTTTTTAGTTTCCACAATAAGGCACCCTTAAAGGCTGAGAAACTCTAAAAATGAAGTAGATCTCTTGGAATGACATTGCTAGTTTTCTTTCATAGTCATGAAATCAATTTAAGGGCAATACTCTTCTAAGGTCTTAAAGTGAAAGCTGTTTAGTCATTTCTGACTCTTTGTGACCCCACGACTATACAGTCCATGGAATTCTCCTGGCAAGATACTGGAGTGGGTAGCCTTTCCCTTCTCCAGGGGATCTTTACATCCCAGGGATCAAACCCAGGTCTCCTGCATAGAAGGCGAATTCTTTACCAGCTGACCCACAAGGGAAGAAACGCAGTTAAGGCAGGAAAAATTTATAGCCCTGAGCCACAAAGCCTCAGTCTTCAATTTTTTATTAGCATTATACTGGGAAGAATAAAAAGTCCCTGACATTAATTTAAAACCATTTTGCTAACAAAAAGAATCATAGCAACATACAAGGACATAGCCTCTAAAAAAGAATGAAGAAATTATTTTATACACTTATATGGAAGGATGCCTCAATCTATTTTAAGTAAAAATAAAGAGTAAGAAGGTACAGAAAAGAGTAATTATTGGGCTAAAATGTGGGTTTAAAAAGAGAGGAAACGATGATTTATACATGAATTCCCTTATATCTCCATAAAATATCTCTGGAAGACTATCTAAGATACTGACAACACTGGTTGCTTAAGGGAGCTGGGTGGACAAACAAACGAAGGGAGCTGGGAGACTTTCCATCATATATTTATAGAAATTTTGAATTTCAAACCATATAAATACATGTAAGTACTCCATTTAAAAATACGAGCAAGCTGAACCAACAGACAAAACAACCTCTTACCAGATCTTGAGCTTCTTATAGGGGGTCTACACAGACTCATTACAGGATCTTCACTCATCACTAATATGGGAAGACAAAACAATAAAATACATATATCAAGTGTCTAACATATTAGATTTATTATACAATCACCTATTTAGTCAGCAAAGTTTTTTTCTGAGCTCTCCATTATGCTAAGTATGGGAATACAATAGTGAACTAGAGAAAGGTTTGCTGCCATAAAAAATATATGGGCTTGATGTAAAATTTGGCAGTTTTTCTCACCAGACCATATTTGTATAAAAAGAAAGGAGTATCAAATAAAACTTCTGAATTTCTCAATTAAGAACCAAAATCTGTACCGTAGCACCAACTCAATTATCTATTCCATTGTGGCATACCCTCACTGTGGATTATTTATGTCAAACTTTGATTTGAGGGTTAACTTCCTAAGAGTTAATACACTCCCTCCAATTATTTAACCTTGTGTGTTTCAGCAAATACAAACCCTGATTTAAAAAAAGATGTTAATGTTAGCCATAATTTGTTTCAGACTGTCTATAGTTCAATGACACAGGGTTAATGAGGAAGCCAATACCATTAAATAATAAGTTAATGTTAGCCTAGAAATCCAAGTGTATGTCCTCAAAAAGCCTTGCACAACATAATATAAAACCCAATCTATATTTAAATTTGGATTATATTACACTTAGCTTCATTTGTATCTATAAAAAAGGCAGCATGTTTGGCTCTTCGTGAGAACTGAAAAAACCATACTCTGAACCAACTATCACTGACCCCTTCTCCATTATACTGGCTGCCTATGTTTGTTCTCACAAAACTGACTTAACCCCATTTCCTCTTCACGGTATCAAGAAGAGAAATCCTGAAGGGATATCCATTTATTTGTTCTAAAAATACTTATCAAGCATGTTTTTGTACACCTTAAAAGATAAAGAAATAATTGATTGTATGTAGCTCGAAAGGCAGAATCAAGATCAAGGGAAATTTACAGCAAAGTAGCTTTTAGTTCAATGGTAAAAACAAAAGCAACCAAATTATTAGTGTTGTCTCCAAAACAGAACTGATGGTGAGGGAGTGATTTCTACATCACTGCAGATGATCAACAGTGCATGGATGGATGTTAACAGAGGGACACCTACACTGATAGAAACTCTTGAGTACATGACTCTCATAAATCTTCCAGCTCTAAGATCTATGCAATGTATCAGTTGTTAGCATTCTACATAACACAAATTTAGAACTTACATAAATAGCTTTAAAAAGAAATCTCACATATGTCCATTACTCTTATTATTACAATGACTTTCCTCTTTTTTTCCTCTATATTCCCATCCTTTGCAGGTTTAGTTAAAACCTAAAACTCAACTTTATAGATATCAATTACTATTTCAGACCCCATCTTTTCATTTAAGCTTTTCTTGTATGCTCTACCAAATACATAGCCCTATGTAAGAGGGGTTGAAGGAGAGAGAGTAGCAGAGAGGGGTATTAGGGAATAAAATAACAAGGATTCTTCTTTAGTAGCAATCTCCTTCCCTTGTTTGCTGCTCCTGCCTCACCACTGCACCCCCAGCATCTAGCAACGGCACTAATATAAAGTAGGTGCTCAATAAACCTCTGGAGAATGAATGAATGCTGTCATTACAGCAGTCAGAGAATCAAATGTTCATGACAAAATGTTGTTTAGTCACTCGGCCATGTCTGACTCTTCTGCAACCCCGGGACTGGAGCGCACCAGGCTCCTGTGTTCATGGAATTTCCCAGGCAGGAATACTGGAGTGGGTAGCCATTTCCTTCTCCAAGGGATATTCCTGATCCAGGGATCGAACCTGTGTCTCCTGCATTGGCAGGCAGATTCTTAACTCCTGAGCTACCAGGGAAGCCCTCATGTTAAAACAGAAGGCATTAAAAATATTTAACAATAATTATTTAACTAGAAACAAACCGTAACTACTAAAAATATTTAACGTTAGGAAAAGTTACTAAAATTTTCCTACTATATTTTTAGGTTATGAAATTAGTTTCATGAATGGAATGAATCTGGCCATAGAAGAAGTTACATAGGTATATATGAACGGAACTGACCGAACAACCTAATTGCTATTTTACTTTGAAAATAATGCAATTCTGGAACTTCAAACAATAAGCTACTCTAGACTAATACAATCAACATTTTCATGACTTCCAAAACAGGACGACAAATGATGTGGTTGTCTTTACTTGTCTTTACTAGGATGTTTTAGAAAGTGGTCCCTCCTCTGGGAGAAGGCGAGGGTGGGATGTTTCAAGAGAACAGCATCGAAACACGTATATTATCTAGGGTGAAACAGATCACCAGCCCAGGTTGGGTGCATGAGACAAGTGCTCGGGCCTGGTGCACTGGGAAGACCCAGAGGGATTGGGTGGAGAGGGAGGTGGGAGGGGGGACCGGGATGGGGAATACATGTAAATCCATGGCTAATTCATTTCAATGTATGACAAAACCCACTGCAATGATGTAAAGTAATTAGCCTCCAACTAATAAAAATAAATGAAAAAAAAAAAATAGAAAGTGGTCCCTCGGTGGGTGGGTGGGTGTGTGGGTGTGTGTGAAAGTCGATCAGTTGTGTCTCTGTTACCCCATGGACTGTAGTCCATGGAATTCTCCAGGCCAGAATACTGGAGTGGGTAGCTGTTCCCTTCTCCAGGGGTTCTTCCCAACCCAGGGATCGAACCCAGGTCTCCCACAGTGCAGGTGGATTCTTAACCAGCTGAGCCACCAGCGAAGTCCCTTGGTATAGGTCATCATTTTCAAGGACATTTTTGGATAAAGTTTTGTCAGACCACACTAGTGGTCCTATATACAATTACAGCACAATTTTGAACACCAAAGTTGAACTGAAAGTCTGTGATTCTGCAAGAAGGAGGAAGAGCCTATATATTTGTTTTAACTGAAGTACAGCTGATTTACAATGTTGTATTATTAATAGTTTCTGGTGTATAGCAAAGTGGTTCAGTTCTATATATCTATATATACACACACATATACATATATATATTCTTTTTCATAATGGTTTATTATAGGATACTGAATATAGTTTCCTGCGTTATACTGTAGGATTTTGTTGTTTATCTATTTTATATATAGTAGTTTATATCTGCTAATCCCAAACTCCTAACTTATTCCTCCTCTACCCTCTTGCCCCTGTGGTAACTATAAATCTGTGAATCTGTTTCCATTTTGTAAATAAGTTTGTTTGTATCATATTTTAGATTCTACATACAAGTGATACTATACATCTGTCTTTCTCTTTCTGACTTACTTCACTTTAATATGATAACCTCTAGGTCCTTCTATGTTGCTGCAAATGGCAGTATTTCATTCATTTTTATGACTGAGTATTGTTCCATTTTGCACGTGTATACATATATATACACATACATTTATATATATGTACATACACACACACACATACCACTTCTACTTTTTTATTCCAGTCATCTGTTGATGGACATTTAGGTGGCTTCCATGTCTTGGCTATTGTAAATAGTGCTGCTAAGAACCTGTGGGTGCATGTATATTTCTGAATTAAGAGTTTTCTCCTGATATATGCCCAGGAGTGGGATTGCAGGATTATATGGCAACTCTATTTTTAGTTTTAAGGAACCTCCTAGTGTTTTCCATAGTGGTTGTACCAATTAACATTCCCTCAAACAAGGAAGGGCCTATCTTAAACTTGCACTTAAAGTAGTTTTCCATCAAACTGACTCCTGTTTAAGTAATTCCTCTGCTAGACAGACTTTCAGTTCAGTTCAGTCACTCAGTTGTGTCAGACTCTTTATGACCCTGTGGACTGCAGCACGCCAGGCTTCCCTATTCATCACTAAATCCCGGAGCTTGGTCAAACTCATGCCCACAGAGTCAGTGATGCCATCCAACCATCTCATCCTCTGTCATCCCATTCTCCTCCTGCCTTCAATCTTTCCTAGCATCAGGGTCTTTTCCAATGAGTCAGTTCTTCACATCAGGAAGCTAAAGTACTGGAGTTTCAGCTTCAGCATCAGTCCTTCCAATGAATATTCAGTACTTTACAAAGCTTGTAAAGACAGACTCTACAAGCGTTCATTTAATGACTTTCCTAAACATTCTCTTTTTTAAGAGGAATGACAGAGGAGCAGGACAAGTCCTAGATATAGTACGATTTTTAAAAGCACCTTTAATAGTAAAAGAACCCAGAGTATCTCACATCTCCCCAAAATGCACATATCTTTATATCCAGTTACACTGCAGCACAATATAGTCCAGTAATCTGTGCATGAGTTCCATCAATCTACCATCTACATTGGGAAATGTTTTGTCTTTTCCATTATCAACCATAGCATGAGCTTTGTAAGAAAAAGAAATGCTTAAGCAAAATTTTATGAACTTCACACTGCCTACAAAGTGCTGTGAGGAAAAAAACCCCCACCTTATATCCATATGTTTTACTGTATACTAAGTGATTTTGCAAGTACTATTTCACTTTTGCAGTGAGCTTGTGAGTTAGGCCGGGTTAAGTCATACAGATAAAGGCCTGAGGTTTAATATGGCTCAGTGTTCTTGCCTGGAGAATCCCAAGGACGGGGGAGCCTGGTGGGCTGCCGTCTATGGGGTTGCACAGAGTTGGACACGACTGAAGTGACTTAGCAGCAGCAGCAGCAGTAAATATGACCAAGGTCCAGTGCTCTTTGCACAACATTATGCAGCCATGTACCTCAATAGCAGTCCTAAAATACAAGCTTAATGTGAACTCCAAAAGACTGTACGAGACATTCTATTGTGTAATAGTTTTATAGTGGTCTGTATGGTCTATAGGCTGGTGCTCAACAGTCTTCATTAAATCAATTTACTTAACTACAGAAGTTTCATAAATTTATTGTAGATTTTATTTATTTTTGCTGTAGATTTTAAAAATGAGAAACTTTTGTTTTTCCAGGCATAAGCGTCATGTAATTGAATCTATTATAAATAAAATTTCAAGAACACAGTTTTCCCAAATGGCCTGAAAAATGTGATTATAGAGCCTATCACTCGAAGCATTTTTCTAAAACAGTTTCTAATCTTAAGACTCCAGGAACATAGGCTGTTCAAGGAATTAAGCATAAAGGGTGTGTTATTTGGAATTTATCCTCAACCAGGTATTTATTTATTCTAAACAGAATAGTTTAAACTACAAAGCATAATCTTATTAGAAGCAATGGGTATGGAAGTCAGTCAGGATCTGGGTTAAAACAAAAGCCACAGATGATCAGTTTCAATAGCTACAGTCATTATTACTGTGGATTTCCTAATATCAAGAAAAACAAACTGAAAATAAACAGAACTAAAAATCAAAGGATACTATGCATTAATAACTGAACTTAATCCTTTTCCTTGCTTTTCAATATAGGTTTTAAAATGGCCACTACCAAATGTAGCCTAATGCCACTTGATACTAAGATGGAAATACTTCTGCACTTTAACATCTCTAAAACTGGGATGTATTATACAATATAAGGTACATTACCATTAACTCGCAGCATTTCTTCCTCCTAAGTGAAACTGAAAGTCGCTCAGTTGTGTTCGACTCTTTGGGACCCAATGGACTATACAGTCCATGGAATTCTCTAGGCCAGAATACTGGAATGGATAGCCTTTCCCTTCTCCAGGGGATCTACCCAAACCAGGGTTAGAACCCAGGTCTCCTGCATTATAGGCAGATTCTTTACCAGCTGAGCCACAGGGAAGCCCAAGAATACTAGAGTGGGTAGCCTATCCCTTCTCCAGCAGATTTTCCCAACCCAGGAATCAAACCGGGGTCTCCTACATTGCAGGCAGATTCTCTACCAACTGAGCTATCAGGGAAGCCCAAGAGGATGTATCTTAGAACTGATGAGATCTTAGATTTAATAAAATATGGTATCAAATTGAGATTGATTATATTGTGTCATGATTTTACTATGCAGACCATTTAATCCATTTTACATGACACATTTATTCATTCAACACTTAACAAGCTTTACTGAGCAGCTAATTATTGCATGGGAGAGTGACAGTGAGGTACTTGGGGCAAGTGAAGGGGCTTTGGAGAAGACAAGCCTAGGCCTGAATTTGGCTCAGTTACATAGCAAGTAATCTTAAGAGAAAAGCCAGCTACTCTGAGCTCGTTTCCTCACCAAAAAAATCAGTACATCTATCCTTCATAGTTATGTGAATGAATTAACATATACCAAGCATATGGTACTTAGAAGGTATTCAAGCATGCGCCCTGTCTTTTCTTGACACATGCTACTATTGTTTAATTCAACTTAACAACCTAAAAATAAGATTCACTGAAACTTTGAATGAGGTATGATTTGGGACCCCTGATCCACACAATATTCCAATAACCCAATAATTATAGGCTATAATCTATACATAAAAAAAGCTGACAGGTTAGGAAAAAAACAAACTCAATCTGGAGTTGAGTTCCTCAACCTGGAGTTGAGAACCTCAACTTCTTACCTGGAGTCTCTTGTGTTCTCCTGATAGCTTTCTTTGTGACCGTTTGGCTTAAAACAGTTTGTGAAGGTGGTTCATCCTCTAAAGAACAGACATAACAATTGTAAAATTCAGAATATGCAAAGTGAGTAGGGATTATGTATATTAACAGCAATACATAAACAGAAATGCAAGTAATTCATTGTTATGAAAACTCGGGTCTCTCCGTGCATGGGTGCCAAATCAAATCCCAGAGACAGAGTTGTAAGCGAAGCAGAGGATAGCTTTACTGCTTTGCCAGGCAAAGGGAGACACATCAGGCTTCTGCCTTGAAAAACTATGTATCCCATCCCCAGAGGACTTGATGAGTGTTTTAAAAGTGGGTCAAAGGTAGGGTGTCTGACAAGATAAGGGTTTGCACTTGCACTCCCTTACTCTCATCTCAGGTGGTCAGTCTCCTAATCCTGATGATTAATCTGGGCCTTTTAATCTTGCATCAGGTGACTTCTTAGTTGTTCTTCCCTTGATTAGCAACATTTGGAACCTGCCCTTTGGAACTCAGAGAAGGTCATAATGGCTGGTGTACTGCCTCCAAACAATGGGGGACAGAAAGGCCTGGGAGGCTCACAAGGGCCCATTCAGTTTCAATCCCTTCAGAAATGTGTAATTAAGGGGTTCCCTGGTGGCTCAGTGGTAAAGAATCTGCCTGCCAATGTAGGAGACTCGGGTTTGACCCCTGGGTAGGGAGGATCCCCTAGAGAAGGAAATAGCAACCCATTCCAGTATTCTTGCCTGGGAAATTCCATGGACACAAGAGCCTAGTGGGTTACAGTCCATAGGGTGGCAAAAACAGTCAGACACGACTTAGGAGACACTAAACAACACAAAAATTAGGTTTACCAAAACGTGGGAATTGAACTAGTGAGAACTACTCTTTAGGACAACATAAAAATAAACTACTCACCAATGATGCTTTACAACAAAAACACAGAAATATTACTCTAGAAAATTTGAAAGATGGGCTAAAGAGGAAGAATGAAAAACGTGTAGATTCTCATAGATTCACTAAAAATAGAAGTAAATCTTTGTGTGTTTAAAATAAAAAAAAAAAAACAGCTTATACAACTGCATCGGCCTGTGTGGGAGAGTCAATACAACTTAGCATATTTTCTTTGCCTTCCAAAGCATTCTTCTAGCTACTGGACATACAGAAAGAACGTAAACATTGAAGTATAACATGGTCCCTCAAATCTATATGTAGTATCTTTGTCTTCAGAAGCTTATAATCTTAAAAGAGAGATAAAACATTTATAGGGTTAAACAGTCTTGAATTGCTACTCCCAATAGTAACTCACATATCTTTAACATAATTTCCAAAATCATCAACACTTCTACTGTGTCAGCACTTCTGGCATCAGCAAGTAATGTGCAGTGTATTACTCAGCTCTAAACTGAAAATCCACCTCCTCTTCATCATATCCACCAATGGTCTATCACCAACTATGTAATCCCATTATGATTCAAACCCCTTGGTTTTACCTCATAGGTGCCCTATCTGGAGTCAACATGAAACTCCATCTGTGACTCAGTGTTAGATGGGAGAAGGGGCAGTGTAGGAGAGGATGCATTACCGGAGTTGATTCGTCTGTGACTTTCCTAAAACTACACAATCACTTTGTCAGTAACCCTCTGGCCCATTTAGATGAAAACTAATGAAAGTACTGAGGTTACACTTAAGGTCACCAACGAGCGAATTTTTGGCAGAGACCACCACACTAGAGAAAGAGCGATCAGTTCAAGTTTATCACACACTGGGAAGCTTCAGGTTCAGGATGACTGCCTTGACCCCATTTCAATGTAAACATGTGGGTGGGATCTCAAAACAATTCATCAACTACGCTAGTCCTCAAAACAGCCACTCACGAAATTCCCCTTCCTCCCCTCCTGGATAGTGACGGGGAAAGACTGGAAGGTTTGAGGACCAAAATTCTCATTGAGGGACTTCTGGTCTGGGAGTTAAAAGGAGGAAATGGAAGTGGCTTTGGCAGAAACATCCGCAGGGTAGAGAACCGATGTGAAACTGAACTCGGAGTGATTCAGTGTCCTGCCTGCTGCCTAACTGGCCGCCCCGAAGTGCAGGCCTGCAGAAAATGGGCAATCCTGACACCTCTAAATTGATGCCCAGGGAAGCACGCGGCTCCTCGGCTCTGTTCAGGTCACTAGGCACGACCGCCTTTCCTTCCAGCGCCCCCGCCCTGCCACTTTCCCGCCAGCCGACGGGGCGGCCCGGGGGTGGGGGCTCACGTCTATCCTGGAAAAGCTCAGAGGGGATGAGCTCAAGGCAGGCACTCGCCCGCCCAGGGCGCGCACACCCTTCGCGCGTACCCGCCCACGGCACTCCCTCCCTGACTCGCGGTAGACACTGTTACTTCCGACTGCCTCACCTTCGGATGAATGGGAGTCCCGTAATCCTCTTCTGGTGGTAACCGGAGACGGTCGTATCGGAGGCGGCGGCGAGTGCAGCTGCTGCTGGAGGCGAGTAGCTCTCCGCGTCTGCATCTCCTCGGCTTCGTGGAGTCGGGGCTGCCTTCGCTGCCGAGACCGAAGGTAATAGGCGCTTTCTCTCACTTCCTCTTTCGCTGAATCGGGCCGGAACCCTTCTAGCGGAATCTGTCTTCCCACCCGGGCCTTTTCTTTGGCCGCCCGGGGCTCGAAGTCGCCGTACACTTCGGGCGGCTCTTCTGAGAACCTCACTTCCCGCCGGCCGTGGCGCGACGGTGTAGGAGTTCCGTACGCACGCACGTCACTGCTGCCGCCATTTTGAGGGGCGAGCCGGGGCCTTCCCTCCCGTAGCGGAGCCCTGGGCGTGACGTACAGCACCCATCCTTCCCTTTCCGGCTCCGCCCGCCGCCCCTCGCCTGCCATAGTTGTTGACGTAGCTTGAGTCGATCGCGAAGGTGTTTTGCGGTGCCCTTAAAAGTCTCCTGCCGTAGATGGCGATCGTTTTTCGGGGTGTAGGGCGGTGGTGTCGGCGGTCAGGAAGGCAGTTGAGCGTCGTCGGGGCTGCCGCCTGCGTCGTCGCTGCTGTGCTGCAAACCCGCCTCTGGGCCCATGGTGTGTTCCGAGGGCTGTGGGAGAGGCAGTGCCTGTGCTGGGTCAGCTGCCGCGGGTCACTCCCGCCTCCTGGCTGAAGGCACCAAAGAGGAGGAGAAGAGCAAGGAGGCGTCGCTGTCCTCGGCCTTCGGGGAGGGAGGGAGGGAAGACGGAGAAGGGACAAGTGGCTGGGCAAATTGCCGGTCCTCAGTCTAGCTGCTCCTGGCAACTGTTGCCTGCTCGCAAAAGGCGCCCGGCAGGGCCCCCAGCACAGAGTCGGTGGGAGAGGCGGAGTGAAACGCGGGTGGAGGAGAAGTTTCGGTCCTCAGCCCCAGGCTGTTGCGCAGTTTCCCCGCAGCGTTTTTGATCGACTCCTGCCTTCGCCGTACCTTTCCAGTGTCCCTTTGCAGGGATGATAAGAAAGACATATTCGCAGGTGTCATCTTTCCCTGGAGAAAATTTTAGTTTCAAGTTCTTTGGGAAGGCAGTTTACCAGTTTTAGGTTTTAAGTCACTTGTTGAGTGTACGAAATCGGATCTACAGGCTTACTTGGGTAGATTTCCATTTACGAAACGTACGCAGCAAACAGTATTACTCCTGATTTCCTATAAAGGCTCTACTCCAGCTGTTCAGAGACATTGTTAGTGCTGTGTTATGGACAGTAAGAAATGAACAAATACTTTGATTAAAGACAGCACTGTAAAGTTGTGATCCATTATTTTCACTTTGATTCTGAGCATGACTTTATATACTGCATTTGATACAGGGTTTTTCTGCGCTTAGTTTACTGAATAAGAAAGCATGGCAAAGCCATTTGTTTCACTTCTGTGTACCGTATATGCAGATGTCGAAAATCTGCAAATATCTAAACTTAGACACACTGAGGGAATGTTATTGAAAAAAAACGGTTAATCTTGCCTCCACATACAGGCACCCTCCTCGGACGATTTTCTGTAATTGATTTTAGTGAATAGATTTTAAAAATTGCAATTTGGATAGCAGTTACAGTGAATGGCCCCGAAAATTTTGAAGTGAAGTGAAAGTAAGTCGCTCAGTCAGTCATGTCCGACTCTTTGGGACCCCATGGTGTACAGTCCGTGGAATTCTCCCGGCCAAAATACTAGAGTTAGCCTTCCCTTCTCCAGGGGAATCTTACCAACCCAGGGATCGAACCCAGGTTTCCTGCATTGCGGGCAGATCCTTTACCAGCTGAGCCACAAAGGTGTTTCTTTACTCTTTCAAGAATTTAAAATGACTAGAATGTTTTTCAGCAACTCATTGTCCAAACTGGGCACATATTTCATTTTAATGAAATCTTAACGATGTCCTATGTTTTCACTAATAGTCCATAAATTTGGACACACACACAGACACGAGTAATTACATGCTTTAGAATCACCTAGGTTTTTGCTTGATAAAAGCTCTCGTTTAGTTTTCTGTTCTGTTTTTTTTTTAATTATATACAATATAGCCAAAGAAACTGAAGGAATAGTAACATGAGAGATGCTACTTTTTTAAAATTTATTTTTATTAGTTGGAGGCTAATTACTTTACAGTATTGTAGTGGTTTTTGTCATACATTGACATGAATCAGCCATGGATTTACATGTATTCCCCATCCCGGTCCCCCCTCCCACCTCCCTCTCTACCCGATCCCTCTGGGTCTTCCCAGTGCACCAGGCCCGAGCATTTGTCTCATGCAAGAGATGCTACTTTTTAAAGAATCTTTTTATCTTAGGGAAAATTAAAAGCATGTTCTCCCTGTCAGCCTGAGTTAGATACTATATTTGGAAAATTTGTGGGACTCTTTTCTGACAAAATGCTGAGTAGTATTGATACGTGGTTAATATCTGGCTTTTACTTGTTTTAACTAGTGCTTTATAAGGTACCTATTATATTACTCTTAATATGTAACAGTAAAAGGAATGTAATAGATGAAAAGATGTAATAGATTCAAGGATATAATAAAGGATATAATAGATTAAAGGATATAAAACTTTATACAAGTAGTATTAATAAGTTCATATAGTGGTAATATTAATACATATATTAAGCTCTTTAAAACAGTTATGAGGACAGTTAACTATATAGAAACGGATACAGATTTTAAAACAGATTTGGGGGGATGTATTAAAAAAGAAAACAGGAGATTCAATACATTAATACATGTATTGCTGCTGCTAATTTGCTTCAGTCCTGTCCGAGACTCTGCGGGCCCCGGGACTGTAGCCCACCAGCTTCTCTGTCCATGTGATTCTCCAGGCAAGAATACTGGAGTGGGTTGCCAGGCCCTCCTCCAGGGGATTTTCTCAACCCAGGGAATGAAGCTGCTTATCTATGTCTCCTGCATTGGCCGGCAGGTTCTTTACCACTAGCGCCACCTGTGTCATCTTGTAATTAAAAATGCTTGAAGAACTTAGGAATGGTTTTCAAAATCATGAGAAGCTTGACGCAGAATCTGAGGAATGGTAACTTTAGCATTAAAACATACATTTTTTAGGGTTTTTCCTCTCTTGTCTAGGTAATAAGGGTACATAATCCTAGCTCTGCCATAAGTGCCTCCCACACTTAGCAACCTTATAAATACCAACTTTCATTACCAACTCTGAGGTAATGCTAAACCCATGTCGAACCAGATACTCTTCTGTAGATGTTTTCCAAACCCAAGGGTGGCACAAAAGAGGTGACATAGAGACGGTAGACTCAGCTAATAACGATAAGGGAACTGCTGGGCTGCTAATCCAAGAGGAAGCATGAGCTCTGAATGTTAAACAGTTATTGTGGGACTTTGAAATCTGTGGAGGAATTCAGTGAATCGAAAGAAAACGAGAAAAAATGATTAGAACAAAGAATAGACTCATTAATTCATGTATTTATTAAACATCTGTGTTGAAACAGAATAGATGCTTAATAAATATATGAATTCAATTAAGAGTATTCTTTACCCTGAGGGAATTTGCCATATAAGGGAAGACAGAGTTTCAGAAAAACATCTATTTCTGCTTTATTGACTATGGCAAAGCCTTTGACTGTGTGTATCACAATAAACTGTGGAAAATTCTGAAAGAGATGGGAATACCAGACCACCTGACCTGCCTCTTGAGAAACCTGTATGCGGGTCAGGGAGCAACAGTTAGAACTGGTTGGAACAACAAACTGGTTCCAAATAGGAAAAGGAGTACGTCAAGGCTGTATATTGTCACCCTGCTTATTTAACTTATATGCAGAGTACATCATGAGAAATGCTGGGCTGGAAGAAGCACAAGCTGGAATCAAGATTGCCGGGAGAAATATTAATAACCTCAGATATGCAGATGACACTACCCTTATGGCAGATAGTGAAGAGGAACTAAAGAGCCTCTTGATGAAAGTGAAAGAGTGAAAAAGTTGGCTTAAAGCTCAACATTCAGAAAACTAAGATCATGGCATCTGGTCCCATCACTTCATGGGAAATAGATGGGGAAACAGTGTCAGACTTTATTTTTCTGGGCTCCAAAATCACTGCAGATGGTGACTGCAGCTATGAAATTAAAAGACGCTTACTCCTTGGAAGGAAAGTTATGACCAACCTAGACAGCATATTAAAAAGCAGAGACATTAGTTTGTCAACAAAGGTCTGTCTAGTCAGGGCTATGGTTTTTCCAGTGGTCATGTATGGTATGGATGTGAGAGTTGTACTGTGAAGAAAGTTGAGCACCGAAGAATTGATGCTTTTGAACTATGGTGTTGGAGAAGACTCTTGAGAGTCCCTTGGACTGCAAGGAGATCCAACCAGTCCATCCTAAAGGAGATCAGTCCTGGGTGTTCATTGGTAGGACTGATGCTAAAGCTGAAACTCCAATACTTTGGCCACCTCATGTGCAGAGTTGACTCATTGCAAAAGACCCTGATGCTGGGAGGGATTGGGGGCAGGAGGAGAAGGGGATGACAGAGGGTGAGATGGCTGGATGGCATCACCGACTCGATGGACATGAGTTTGAGTAAACTCCGGGAGTTGGTGATTAACAGGGAGGCCTGGCCTGCTGTGATTCATGGGATCGCAAAGAGTCAGACATGACTGAGTGACTGAACTGAACTGAGGGAAGACAGATATATACAAAATTATAATTGGCATTAATTTAAACGCCTAACTATTAGGCCTCAGTCTAGAAATCTAATGTTCTTGACACTGGATTCTAAGTAAAGCAGCTATTTTAATAAGATAATTTTTGTACATGAGTTTTTCGTTTGCTGTTCTGTTGCTAAGTCATGTCTGACTCTTTGCAACCCCATGAACTCCAGCAGCCAGGCTCCTCTGTCCTCCACTATCTCCCGGAGTTTTTTGTTCAGGGTAAGCAGAAATCCTGTTATGTAGTGAGAAAGCATTTATCAATTCATTGTACATAGTGTTCACAATTTTGGTCAGAAAAATAACTTTGGGGTTATATCTTAGTAGAAAAAGGTAACATTGTTATTTTTAATAAAAAGATTAAAATATTAAATAAGAGGAAGTAAAGACATAGTAGCCAGCTGCATTTATTCCCCATTCTCACAAGTGATAGAAAAAATATTTTGAAGACTATTAATATAAATGAACATGTCTTGCTGGAAATGAAGTGACTACAATAGCCTTCCATTTATTCTTTGTTGAATTCGAAATTGCAATTAAGCATCTAAAAATGTTCCCAAGTCCTGCAACTTCTGCCAAAAAAGGATGGTTGAAGACACCAAAAAAATGTTCCTTACATGAAGAATCATTAACCCAATAAAATTTTGAGCTTGTGCTATGTACTAGGTAAACCCTATTCTAGGTGCTGGGGATATAGCAGAAAAGAATAGACCAAAGACAACGC